GCGGCTCCCCGTTAGCGTAATTTTATGCAGTTTCCTGGTTTTATTGGGACTTCTTCTCCATCTTGGACTCCAATAAGAGGTTATATATATATAGCCATATTGTATTTCCATAATATATTATTCGTATCTTATTCTTTACATCTTCAACAACATATTGAGAGATTGAGAGTTTAGATTCCAATTGAGATTATTGAAATCTTGATATTGTAAATACAAAACTATTGATTAGAGTTGATTGTTCTACTCAGCCCGTGGTTTTTTCCTGAATTGGGTTTCCAAGTAAATTCTTGTGTTCTTGTTTTTCTATCTTCTTTATTTCATTATAGTCAATATCTTGCCATCCGTTTAATAACAATTAAGAAATTTTTTTAAATGACAAAGTCATTACATAAGAAACCAAAGGAAAATAGATTAATTTTAAAACATGCCAATAACCCCCAAGTGGAATGTTGTCTATAAATAAGCTATAAAATTGTATGGACTTTAAACAACAAAGTGTTATTATAAACTTTTATTGTCATAATAAAAACATCCATGTGAATCAATTTTATGAGTTTCTTATTGTTCTTCTCGCTCTTAAAACGGAGGACTTAATAAGATCAATCAATTGAATATTTATTAATGAAAATACTCGACATGGAACACTGCATACAAATGTTAAAATATATAGCTGACACTGCACTATTAGTAAAATTGTTTTAATTTAATTTTAGTACAATTTGTTGTTAACTCATTAAATGACTTTTTTTCCATGCTGATATAGTTCACTCCAATTAATGTTATTACAATTTGGTGATTCTGTTGATATCCATCAATTTCACTAATGAAAAGCTGAAGTGGTACTTTAGCCCATGTTTGAGCCCCATTATCTAAAAGCTCATTTTCTGCCGCATTTATTTTTAACCACACATTTATCAAATAAGGTAATTTTACACCTAAATAAAAAAAAAATCGTACTTTTTAACCTAACATTCTAGGAAATCACAATTATAAAATTCATTTTGGATAAAAATGGGACTCAAACATAGCCTTAGTTCTAAATACTCTTATTCCATTTTCCATTTCAGCCACTCAGTTATCTTGAAGCTGGATGAATTGGCTGTGATTATATGCTTTTACTATGTAAATTTATCAAGAAAGGGGATGGATGTAAGGAATTAAAAGATAGGAAATGGTGCAATAATTAGTTAGTACAATCTTTATTTTGAAGTATGAAAGTACATAACTTTAGGTTTCATGATTGAATTATTCTTGAATTATATATTTTTTGGCACATAATGTTTTCCAAAATTAATTTAATTAAAAGCATTTATGAGCCCTGGAAATGTTATTAGGGAAATCTATCAAAAGGCAGCAATAATTTCTATCTATAAGAACTATTTTGGCATCAAGTCACAAGGATTAGAGAAAAAACCTGGGCACGTTTTGTACGTTTGACATGCTACATAGAAGTACTGTACATTATTCGTCTAATATTCAAAATTTTATTTTTTCATTATTCTAGCTTTATCGAGCGAAAGCTTGGTAACTAAACCAGAAATTAAACTGGCATTGTAATGAATTTGTTCATGATGATGATAATTCTCTAGCAAACCCCACTGTTTGAATTTTGAATGAATTCTCAGAGTAGATCATTTATGTAAACGGACCACCTGGGTTATGCGATTATACATAGGCTATCCATTCACAAATATCAACTCTTCTTTGCGTTCAAATCTACTATTTCGGCTGGGCCGTCTCACTACTAAAACTTTGACGTCTCTTTATAATTTTGAGGTGTCAAAATTTTAGTGAAATACCTCTTTTTAGTTCAAAACTAATGGTAAAAAAGTAAAAACTCATTTATTTAATTTTGTATATACGTAAACTTTTATATTATTTTTAATTATTACATTTGGAGCACGAAAAAAAAATAATTATGTAAATAATCAGGAGTTTAAATATTTATCATCTCTAAATTTAAAAGTTGTTTGTTGACTGAATAATTATCAACACTACTTATCATTAAATAGAATTAGTAGCTAGTACGCGTGATCTCATTTGGTTAGGTACACCGATGGACGATATAAGAAGGAAAAAAACATTAAATCTTATTTATTGTAATGTACCAAACAATCTACCAACACTCCCTATATATTCCCAAGTGCCTTCCTAATCAAAATAGGTAATTGTCTATCAAGTGAGCATTTTTTTTCATGCACACAGCACAATGTCGTTGATCTTTATAGTGAACAAATCAACCGTTGAGCAAATAAATTAGTATATGAAGGGAAAATTATTGGATTACCTATTGTTCGGATTTGTCCGTCGAGATAATTATATTGAAAAAGAACTGATTATGCGAATCAGCATTTACTAGTTGTGTTGCAAATATACCAACCAAAAAAGAACACATTGTATAAATCATCATTTGGCTTTAATTACTCACTATGAGTAAACGCCTACCCCGTATAGCACAAACTATCATTTACCAGCCCGTTGTGTTACAAATACCCTTGACACGGGAGAATATATTGCACATGTTATCATTTTTGTCGTTAGCACAACTAATATACTTAATATCCGCAGAAGAACAGGATGAGTAAATCGTCGTTTACCTATTGTGTTGTGAATCTACCTACCATTGAAGAACGTTACGTAAATATCAGTGTGAATAATCCATGGACGATAGAGAAAATTAGGAGAGTAACCAAGCTAATACCGAAGAATATTACATTTGTCAGAATAGATAAAAATTATTTAGATTATTTCAAACAAATACTAGTTGAATATTCTCCCTTTTCTTACATTTTTCACATTAAAGATTCATAAATAGAAAGTAAGAACAATGACAATGTGTAAAATGTACCTTAGCCGGATCAGCACTGTGTAACAGAGGTATTATTTCAAACCAAAAATATTTTTTTCTTCATGGCGGACTGTGTACACAATCTGGGCTGAGTCATGGCGGACTAAAATTTAAACTTTTTTTCTTCAAAATGGATACAATAATATACATTCATAGAACTGTATATGATTTCAACGGAGCTTTGGAGACTGTCAAAATGTGGGTCCTATCTAAATTGCATGGCTGACTCGTGGAAACTGACCATGAAGTGAGATCCATTATAAGACATCCCCCTTCCCCAGAAGGATTATTGCAAGTTTTACCAACAAATCCTATACATTGTTGTACAGCTCTCTGCATTAATTTCATAAACTGCAGTGTCCTCTCAGTTGAAGTCAGAGACTCCATTTAATTCAAGCTTTTCGGTTGCTCCTTTAGGACCTTTCTTCATCTGTTTCTTGTTTCTTTATCGTGTATATATACTGAATAACAGTTTTAATTTTCTGCAATTTCTGCTGTACAGCTGATTTCCAAGAGAGAGAGAGAGAATGGGTCATGGACACCATAGGTGCTGCAGCAAACAAAAAGTGAAGAGAGGGATGTGGTCACCTGAGGAAGATGAGAAACTTTCAAGGCACATTTCTGCCTACGGCCATGGCCGTTGGAGTGCAGTTCCTAGACTTGCTGGTATTATTTGTAGAACATTAATTTTCACACAGACACACACCTGTGTGTTAAAAAAGTGTTTGTACCCTAGTTGGCTAACTTTTCTTTTTTTAAATCTTTTTAAATGGAGATTGAAGGATTTCACCCATCTCAAAAGAAGAATCAAACCCAGTCCCATTGGCCTGAGAACTCTTTACTCTTACCACTGAGTTAGGTCTTGGCCATAGCTGCCCAATGTGTATATAAATAGGTACCCCGGTTTTTTTGGTGCAGGGTTGCAGAGATGCGGCAAGAGTTGCAGACTGAGATGGATAAATTATTTGAGGCCGGGTTTGAAAAGAGGGAGTTTTTCTCCACAAGAAGCTGCTCTCATAGTTGATCTACAGAATATTTTGGGGAATAAGTTAGTCTCATAGTCACAAAATAATGAATTATTTCAGTTACAGCTTCATACAAACTTACATTTTTTAGTTTTGCAGGTGGGCTCAGATAGCCAAATATCTTCCGGGAAGAACAGACAATGAAGTGAAAAACTTTTGGAATTCAAGTATCAAGAAAAAACTCATGGCAATGAATCTTTCTAATATGGCTCCAGTTTCCAATCTAGCCGCAATTTCTAATCTGGCAAATTCTGCAAGGAGCAATTTTCAAGGTTTGTGCTCAATGAATTCAAACTCTATTCTGATCCCAACTGCCCAAATGGATCAAGTCTGCATCCCTGCAGCAGCCCCAAATGATCCACTACCACAAGGGTTTGATCAGGTGAATTTTAATACCAATTTATTCACTCCGCTGCCATCTTTTCCTTTTTCGTCACTGGATTCATCTGCATATGATCTGCCGCCCGTATGGATGCCATCGGAATACCAGAAACCTCAACTGATTGATCATCAGCATCAATTTAACAAACAGGAAGATACTTCCATGTTCATCACTGACGGCGCTGGGGCTCCACAATTTTTCAACCTGCCGCAATTAATGGGTACTTTTGATGATACATCAGCATTTAATGGTCTTCTGAAACTCAGTCAAATGACCGATGGGGATCAGTTTGGGATGTGTTCTTCATCTGTTTCACCAGTTCTCGCACCAGTTTCTACAGGTTTTTCAGGATTCCCTTCTGTCCTTCATGCACCAAAGATGCAGGTTCCTGCAGTCAGTCATATCCAGTTCATTCATTCCGTCATGCCAGCATTCAACTCACCATCTTCCTCCTCGTCCTCCCCCTTGCCAGTACTGACTCCTACTACCAGTTAGCGGGCCATTTCTCTTGAATCTTAATCAGCCGTCAAGCTGGATCAATCCCTAGACGTGGTGGTACTCCGTACTCGAATGGATTTTGTGATCTATGGCAGTAATCATTAAACGCCATGAATTTAGTTTTCAAGTTTATGACTATAGCAGTTAAAAAAAAAACTGTTTCTGATTTTGGATTTTCAGTAGATTTTTCCAATTTCATGAATGTTCATAAATAAGACAGACTATCTTTCTCATGTTTATTTTGTTTGATTATAGTTATTTAGTTAGCAATTTATATTTGTGATTTAGCCCCTATTTGACAACCATTAAAATAAGTTTTGGGGGAAAGTAAGTTTCGAAATAGTTATTATTTGGAGAATGTTTGGTTAAAAAGTAAAAAAAAAAAACGTTTTGAATTTACGTATAAAATAATTTATTGTGAGAATGTATCATTAAAATTGAGTTTGAGAAAAAAAAAGTTTTATTTGAATGGTTGCCAAAAAAGAGCTTAATATATTCTGATGAGAGACCTCAAGGAGTGTGTGTGGTGAGTGCACTCTCCTAAAGTTTAAAATTGGTGGCCACTTTCGGGTGATAACAAAAGATCAGCCGTGTTTGACCCCCAATTTTCAGGAAATAAATTTTGCAATTGTTATTTTTTAGAGAGAATGTTTACCTATAATTTTTTATTGAGAGAACGTTTGGTCAATGACGAGTTTGGAAAAATGCATTTTTAAAAAATGGGACTCAAACAAAGATTTAAATTCCAACATTAAGAAATCCATGAAAGAATTCAATTGTTGGTTTAGTGAACATTAAAAACAAAGATGTGCACATATTTAAAAGTGCAGAAGTTGAAAAGAAATTTTTGGACCAAATTCAATTCCTAAATTTTCCTTCAATTGGGGTTTATCGCTATCAATTTCTGTTCAGAAAAGTGAGTAAAAAGAAAGAAAAAAAAAAAAAAAAGCAGCACGAAGGCCCCAAATTAACGACTTTCCATCTCTGCTTACTTTCAATCTGAATTTTTCCGGAACTAGCATCCATTGAAAGAGCTGATGCTGTTGATTCTTTCTGGCCTAAGCGACTTGGAAGGAATTCATGAAAACCCGGGCTGATGTTTCTGGACATGTTTAGCAAATCAAGCAACGATTTTTTAAATTTTTTGCTAAATTATCCCTTCAACTATATTCATGGTGAAAGTATAATGTCCTAGACCCAATTGTTGGTGAACTTAAAAAATAGTAATGAACTTTTTATGTATTGCGCTTTAATTAATTAGTTCTGTAACTCAATTGGTTTACGTCTTTAGTAATCCTAATTGAAAGTTTTTAAATCAACAGATCCATGTGCGGACTTACACAATTAAAAGCAGCAAGTCACTTTTTAATTGTTTTTAGATGGTTAGATCAAACAAGTCAATTTATCCTATATTTAAATACGACAATCAATAATGAAAGCAATAAAAACACCAAAAATGATCGCGGAGAAACCTCAATTGGATAAAAACTTCGGACACTTTGACAGTCAATAATTCACTATAAATTGAAGCAAACTTACAGTACAGCTCAGACCTGTCTACATCGCACTGGACGTGCGCTCCTTCAAAACTGTTAACACACTAAAAATACAGCCCAAATTGAACAGACCAAAGAGTGAAACCCAATTGGAGGCCCAGGACAAAGGCCCAAATGAGGTTGTTGGTAAGTGCGAAAGGGCCCACGAACATAGTA